TTTTGAAAGCATGAAATTAATCAGCCAGAATATTTCATTTTGATTTTTTCTAAAGTGTTAATTTTACGTGATAAACCGCAAGACATTTGTTCCTAACTTAGGTGCCCGTTACGAAAGAAGACATGATTTAACATAAACACAAGTCAAAATGTCCCCGAATTTATCAATGTTTTCAGGTTTCGGTTTATTTCGAAATGGCATGCAACTTTTTTACATCTCATGAACGTGTTGTGAATAGTTATATTAGCGTTTTTATGTATATTCATTTGTTGTGCTTTGCTGAAGACAGTTACCAGGAATCTAAACCTGGTAATGAGAAACGCAAAGCCAGGTAAGCAGTAGTTATCGCGTAACAAAACATCGTAAGAAACCGTCACATTCACGGACTAAAACAAAATCGCTTATGATTATTTGGATCCAGGAGGCACTTAGGAGAAAATTAAACAACCTAAAACCCTTATTTAGCGGCGATGAAGAGCACTGCATTTCAAAAGAGGTCAAAGGAAATGCTCTTGCATCAAAGGGCAAATCATGCCGACCAGAAACAACAATAACCGCAGAAAATGCGTGTCATGACCTCTCGGTATAAACAAGCGGCAAAAATCATATTTGCTCAGTCAAAACGTTTTCCTTAGAGGTATAATCTACCCGCCAGAGCCGGAGAAAAGTCATTGGAACAAGCAGCATTTTAGCATGAGGTAAAAGTCGTGTGTTGCCTACCGACTTCGTTTTTACTCTTGAATGATTTTTTTCATTTAGTTTTTATTCATATATTTATTTGAGAAGTAAAATTTAGCTTTTAACCTGACTTATTGTAATAATAATAAAATCGACATGATGATCCGCTAACTTGAGTCCAAGTCATTCCCATTTTTCTTTCGGGATCATTTGCGGTCGACTTTGGAGATCATTTGCGGTCGAGGACCATTTGCGGTCCATTTTGGGGATCATTTGCGGTTGGGGATCATTTGCGGTACTGTACAGTACTCAAAGCCTAGGGTGAATACTCTGGAACGGTCGTTGAAAGTTGGGTTTGACCCAAAAATAAACCAGTTACTCGTGTGTAACCTGCAGTTCCAGGCGTTTAGATAATCATTTTTTCCTGCTCACTTTTAATTTGCACAGTCCCCAAAATCTGAGGGCCTGGAACGTTGAGAGCGTAACTAGATGTAATTAACCAAAGTATCAAAAAGCTAAGAAGGTAAACCTGAGTAATGAAACAATGAACGTGAAGTCACTTTTTAAGTGACGTTTGCTCGCCACCGACGTCGTGGTATCTTCAACTGTTCTCTAATATTGTTACTTTGAGAAAGAAACTTAAAAAACATACTTGTATAACGTATGGAACTGGCAACGGTGCTTTTTCCCATCTTTCAGCGAGAGGAACATGGTAACAACTCCCTTCAATATCCCCTCGCTCACAGTCATTTTCTCGACGGAAGGCTCCCAATTAGTTGTTCTTTTTTGCATCACTGGTCCATCAGCAGGAAAATTCATCCCAGTGAAAGTGGACTTGTGGATAAAGCAGTTGCATTTACTGTCAAGGCTATCGACGTAAAAGGAACTTATGAGACAGTAACAAAATTTATTTTTGTATTATTTTTATTATTATTGTTATCAATATTGTTATATTTCTTATAATTAATTAGTTAATTCTAAATTTTAAGCGTCTTTGATCGTAAAATTAGTAAATTTATACCTTATATCCACATTGGCTATGCAAGATCCGCCATCTTCAAATTGAAGACTTCTTTCCCATGTGTATCCATCAGGAAATGATGGCTTGAAATAGTCAACGATTCCTTTAGGATAATCGGTGAAGGCTCTGTTACCATAGCAAAACACAGATGACAATATGTCAAAGGAGAATGGGAGGGGTCCACCCTTGGTTACTCGCAGTTTTAAAGTCTGTTTTCCTCTACAAAAAATGAAAACAACAAACACAAAAACGAATTAAACAAAATATGAAAAGCAGAGAGGAGCCTTTTGAGAACTAGGCTAAACACTGCCCATTTACCAGTGTAATTTAACTAAATAGCGGGAAAGGTTTAGGACAGCCTGCTATATACTTTAGTTTCATTTCGATTCTCCAATTAATGCTAATTCGCGCCAGTCGACAAGGGTTTATTATTGGCAAGTCCTATTGCGAAAAAATACCTCTTTCATAATACTTAACTACACCCCAAAGCATTTAACACTGTTGAAAAGGTTTATTTTAATGTAATAAGTTTTCATTTGTTTCCTTTTCAGAAAAAAAACTAATCCGTCCGGAAATAAAGGGTCAGGTCATCACTGTGGCAGAATCACCGTTAAGATAATAGTATCATGATGATATAAATGACGTTTGATCCTGATCTATCAGCAAAAAATTAACCATCGTCGTCGCCTATTGCTGAATACCAACGTGTTTCATCATATCCGTGTCAAATTTACCATTCAAAGGAAAGTCGTTATTAATTTCTGGTGATGATCAGTAAAACCACTTTCACTTCATAGAACT